AAATGATCTCTCGTGAATTGTTTTCCTTCGATGCGCCATTTTTGATTCAAAAAATAAAAACCGTTCTATTGTCTAACTAAAATTATTATTAATTTAATTGGAAAAATTAAACACATTAAGGGTAATGAACAACAACAACTGACAACATAAACATAACATTAAAACCAACAAAATGATTACAAAAATTGTTGAAAATGGCCTCCTTCACTTATTATGCATGCTTCCGCCCTCCTTCTAATGGAATTGCGCACTCGTTGAAATATCCCTGGAGCATTTTTTATTCTATCACAAGCTGCAACTATTCTTTCTCTTAATTCCTCTCCAGTGTTAATGGGAATTGTGTACACTAGTGTCTTAAGATAGCCCCACAAAAAGAAATCAAAACTGTTGAGGTCTGGGGACCTTGGTGGCCATTCTTGGGACCCACCGCGGGCAATCCAACGATTTGGATAAACAGTTTGTAATTAATTACGAACCGCTAAACTGAAATGCGCTGGTGCACCATCATGCATGTACCAGATAACTGAACATCATCAAGCAGCAAAGGCAACTGTTGTTGAAGAAAATTAAAGTAAGTGTGTCCGTCAAGTCGTTCCGGCAAGAAGAATGGGCCGATAATGTGGTTGCCAATAATTCCTGCCCATACGTTGACCGAAAATTGGTGTTGGAAATGGGTTTAGGTTACGGCATAGGGATTTTCTTTTGCCCACAAATGATTATTGTGGAAATTGTGAATGCCATTTCGAGAAAAATTAGCTGCGGCCGTGAACAGAGTCATTGATTCAAATTGCGGATGTTGTGTAATTTTTTGAAGATACCACTGACAAAAGGTCACACACCGTGGAAAATCAATGAGAAGTAATTCCTGTACTCTTAAAATATGGTAAGGATATAACAAAAAATCCACTAAAATTCTCCAAACAATTTGATGGCAAATATTTAAGTACCTAGCGATCTTCCTCGTACTCGATTCAGGATGTTCTTCGACTTCGTGCAGCACTGCTTTCTCAATTTCAGGTGTTCTCACACTTTGAGGTCTACCTTCAGATGTTCCTTGTCGGACAGAACCGTTACCGTCGGCAAGGCCATATACGTAACGCATTTCCCCCATTTCTGCATTTGAATAATTCACCATTATTAACAAGATTGTAAAAACTGAATAATGAAAAAGATGCCACAGCCAACAGATTTGAATAACAGAACTTGTCAGATGTCAAAAGCTAGTGACATATTCCAGAGCAGCTAGATATTTATTGCTAAATTGCATTCTTCAATTAGTACATTAATTTTCTCGGACAATAGAACGGTTTTTATTTTTTGACTCTAAAATAGCGCATCGAAGGAAAAAAATTCAAGAAATATCATTTGTTTTGAATTGAACGGGGAATTCAAAAATAATTTTTATTTGGCAAAAAAACATTGTCGAACTATTTTTTTCTTAAAAAATATCGAACTCAACGCCCGTACGCCCGCCACTGTTAAAGCTAAAAATTATTTTTGCATTGAAAAATATGCAACTTCATTAACTTCCACTATGTACTAAATATCAGTGAAATATCTGAAGCGGTTCTTAATTAATTTCCAGTTTTTTTCCTAAAACTTCAACACCCCGAGTTTTTGTAAGGAAAGATTTTTGGAACATAGTTTATAAAGCAAACTAACATTAATTTTTCATGTAGATTCACACCCTTAAATATTCGCATATCATTAAGGAACACCCTGTATAAATCCGGTGCAAACTTCTGATTTTATCATCCTCCTATCGAAGTATCTCAAAAATAGTGATTAATATTTTGAATGATGATGATATCGTTCAAAATTCACTGAAACAAGTGTCAATATATTACATTGAACTTACAAAAAGATGTAGGAAATTCTTTAAATTGTAATCAAACGAAGTATCACCTGAAGAAGCTTTTGCAGCAAATTTCGCCTTTTAGTCGTTTTTGGAAATAGCAAATTCGAAGTTTTGTTCTTCTATCAAATCTTGCTTCTTTCGCTGGACTAGTCTAATCATAGACGAAAATATCCCTGGTTTTCGAAATAATTGTAAAGTCTGGTTTTATTGCTGCAAGTTGTTCAAGGGGGTATTCAAAATTTGGACGCATAAAATGGGTACACAAATGTTTATGGAAAAACCTTTTATTCGACAACAAATAATGAGAAAATGTGTTTTTTGGGGTACAATCGAAACTGTTGGCAGGACCGAAAAACCTCTTCATAGAAGATTTAGGTGTTCGTGAGACCTACAAAATGAGACCACAGGTGAAAAGATCCGACTAATAGCAAAAAGTTATGGAAAACCAAGACAAACTGCAGCTTTTGGCACTTGTTGTCCCATAAAAATACCCCCTTGAACAACTTGCACCAATAACACTAGATTTTACAATTATTTCGGGGAAGTTTGCTAATATGTTTAGAGTATACGGGATTGCTTTTGACATAAAGGGATCGCTGGTTACTCTGTGTATGCGAGAATCCAACTGATTAGAAAGTAACCGTATTCTGTACGTAATATGTATCAACTCTATCATGGAAATAATTAGAATGCATCGGTAATAATTCAGCTTCACGCATTGCGCAGACACAACCTTAAAATTAGCATGAATAGCGCAAATGTCTTGCGTAACGGATGCGGAGTAGTAAGCCATATTTTATTCGTCAAAATTTTGAACTTGGAAACATTGCGATTACCAGCAGATCATTTTTACAGTTACTAGATACTGAACATTTTCTTTCTACTATCTTGTGGTTTTACTTCCCGCGTTAATTGTAAGTATTCTAATCTATCTGGTATCACTTATCCCCGTCTGTCTGTCCGCTAATCCTTGGAAAAAAAATGCTTACACAAGGCTACTCCTGTGCCAAGGAGGAATGAAATAAAAGTCGCTATTGTCGATTTTTGACATTTCTGAGGATCTTGTTTATATTTAGATTTTTTGGAAAGGTTGAATAGGTTGGTTTATAGTGAGTTGGGGTTTGTAGAGGTTATGGGGTTGTAGGGGATACATAGGATACTTATGTAGCTTTCATTATGCTAGCATCTTCACCGTCAACGACCGCCCGATGACACCAGTAAATTATTCGCCTTAAGAGAAAACGCACGGGCACAGGGAAAATTGGCAAAACACTGGTATATGGCTTATTATTTACCACACGTTGGGAGAAAGTTCCAGTGGAAGCAATGAGAATATTTGAGAGACTACTTTAACATTATTGCACCATATGCAAATTTCACGTAGCTTTTTTGTCCTAGACTAGTATCGGCGGAGTCTGCATAAGTTTGTCATTTTGTTATACATGCAGTTAAATTTTTTCCTATGATGGGTTGATTTGATTAACTTTTGGTTTAGCGGCTACTACTACAAGAGATTGTTCCACTTTGTATGAAAAAAATGAAAACAAAAAAGACAACAGTTATATTTCGTCTGTTATAAATCTGTTCCAAGTAGGTTGATTATAGCTCTGATATGCAATTACTTTGGCTGATTTCTTTTGCGTTGGAAGTATAGACTCAAGCTACTTGATGCAATTTTATTTTAATATTTTCCCACATGTACACCACGAAAAATATGTCCTGAATTTTTGTCTCCTGTGTGCCTGCTTGTCCGCTAATTCTCGACATCTCTATAACTTCGAAAAAACCGTTAGGATTTTGATGGACACACGGTTGTTAATATGCCAAGGATAAAATAGTTTGCACCCATCATTCTATGAAATTTTCATCTATCTCGGATTTTTAAAAGGTTAGACATTGGTGTTCGTAGAAAAAACTTTCGGCAAAACATTAACGTTTTGGTGTACTTCACGTTCTACTCGAATGTCCAAAGATACTCGTACATGTCGAGATCCTGGGCTATATCTCTCAGTTTGAATATTCATTCAAGCAGTGCATGTCCTCTCTCAATACTTCCACGTAGCGCATAGCCGAAATTGCAGGTCTAGCATTCGAAATGACTCCCCTTTGGTCTGGCACTGCGTCCGATTTCTCAGTGCTTACATCACCCATTTAATTCTGGTTCTACATGACAAAATCCAGTGCGGCTTGATTGTACGGTGCTGATAAGTAATCACAGCGAATTGAACGTGCCGTATTTTATCATAGGCTGTGATGATTAGTTTGAAATCAATCGAATCATCAACCTAGAGATAAAAAACATGCGCGGGCATGCCGTCTTCGCAATTGAGTGATAGCCTAGGCAACAATGGTTTATCCTGGTTACAAAAATGATTGCGCTTAGTGAGGACATGATGGAAACAAAATGGAAAACATACGGACTTCTCCTTTAAGGCTGGCATACTACTCCTGCATTTTATTTTTAATTTAGACGTCACGTGAGATGTGTGTTTTTAGTATCCAACGTCATGTGATCGTCAAGGAAACAGACACAATAGTCTTTTTCTCAAGCAAAAATCCACGTTCGGTTGATATCACTCATGCCAAACAATTAACGGAACTGACAACGAAAACCACACTACGTCTTGTATGTAGATTTAAGATTCTACAAGTGAAAAGTACAAATAGAATGAGTCTCCGTGCCAGCCTTCAGAGTGTCGCATTCTGCGTAGACTACTAGCATCCTTTACAATCATGTCACGTGAACTTTTTAACAACTAGGCTTTAAAGTTATATATTTATGTCAAGGACTCACGCTATCCACTGTGGAAAGGCTGGCAGGTTAATACTGTCGAGCTTTTCGGTCTATAAGTGGCTATAAAAGCTATATCATGTCAGAAAAATGTTAACTAAAGTTTTATTTTGAAATATGTGTATCTAAAATTCCTTGGGCTATATTTATAAGCATGGATTGATTTGATCGAGTCGTTATCTGTTCCGCTTGCTACTGAACCAACTATTTGCGGTTCATGTCGAGCCCATCAGTGGTGGACACTTTTTTCTTGCTAAATTGAAAAAGTATGCCATCGTTTTACAATTGATGTAACACACCGCATAACCTATATTTTGCGTTTCGCTTAATTTACCTTTTGTTTTGTTTCAGAATACAGTTCCTCATGCATCAGTATCAATGTTAAACCAGTAACCAAATCCATAACCCAACATGGATCCTATTGGGTGAGTACCTAATTGCCATCCTTATTGCTATAACAACCTCAGCTTTAAATACTGGCCCGTTCATTAGAAGGTGGCTCTGATAATCAGGCCAACAGATGAACTGACGTATGAATTAATGTACCAGAAAATCGTGTTCAATTGAAATTTTTCACGTTGCTGTTACTTTGCGTCACTCGTACCTAGTTGAATTTTACGAAATTATGAAAGCGAATCTGGGATATTGTTTGTTTTCAAATAACACACATCTCATAGATGAATTTTGCCAGGCTTAAATTCAATAAGAAAAGGTAAGAAAAATGTTTAATATAAAGCTGGGTCATTTTGCAACAGTAAGTGTTGTTTTCCTGATGACATATTGAAACCATTTCCTGGAATTTTTACTTATGCTTTTGAGTATTTTTAATGATGAAATAATGTTTATATGTTGATTTACTTGACACATCTTATTTCTCCCAGGGTCAATCAATCTGGATTTAAGGTACTGTACCAGTATTTGCAAAAACCAACTGCGTACCATTTTTTGCTAAACATAGAAGCACATAAATGTAAGTTAAGTGCTTTACAGAACAACTATCTACATGTTCATGTAACCTTTGCTAACTCATCTGCAATTGCATGCATCAAAACACATTTCAATATCTCCATTTGTATTCGAGATATAAACGCGAACTTTCAAAGATGTACAAGTTGAAAACGAACGAAGTATTTATATAATTTTTTTTCATAGATTAACGTGCATAATCTGCCATTGAATTTTCCTAACCATATATGTAGCTTAACATTCTGCCCGTATCCCAATTTTCTCGCAAGGACGTGATTCGGCTACAATTTTTGCCTATACAAATACCTCATAAAACGGTTTTGTTTTTATTAATCAGGCTGGTCTATAAAGCGGTTACGATTTTTTTATCAGATGGCCAATGACCTTCTTTATATGGATGTCCAGTAGACGAGCATCACGTTTGTATGCTTTTATCTTGAAGATAGCTTATGTTATCATTTGCTGAGTTATTTGAGACCCGTCACCGTTATTTAATGTTTTCCGGATCGCTTTGGGTTAAATATGACTAAGGTTAATTCCTAAATCAACTCTCCATTTGAGTTTTGGGTTATTTCAAAGATTGAGGATAAAAAAATCGGGAGAGATTGAACCTCTAGTGTAGCAAGACCATTGCAGGGGGTGCAAACCTCTATTTTCTACCGCTTAGGCTGGTAATTTCTTTAACAGAACAGAGAATGTAAGCCTCTCACCACTTATTTCAATCCATCGCTTTAATAGATAGCCATTTTAGGCTGCTAAAAGGTCCGAGTCATAATTTAAAGTTTATACATTGGATTTTTGTGCATCCCTAACATCACCCATATAGCAGTTAGCGTTTCTAAAGGAATTGAACAATTTTGTTTTACAAGTTCCCATTTCTTCAAACTCCCCTTTTTAGGGCTATCTTGCACCTATTTCTCCCTATGTTCCAATATGTGGGTTCAATTCTTTTTTAAGAATTTGTATTCATTAGTTTTTGATGTTCCTCGAAACCATTTTTTCGTTCTACTATATAACCCTGACTTATATCTTAGATTATGCATCATCTTGCATCGAATAAAACGGATCATTCCGGATAGAATGTTTTTATTTTATTATGACGTATTTAAATTGAACGACAAATTAATATCACAGCCGATGTATCATAAATGATGGCCGGATTTTAATTCGCTCTTTTAGATCGTTCAGTTCAGTGATTGCCTATATTCATTCGATATGTGCTCGTCTTATTCATTTTGAAATAATAACATATTGTTCAATACAGTTTTCAGAATAAAAGTATTCATATGTACTAGATAATAAGTTGGAGGAATAAGTGAATAGCGGATAAGCAATAATGAGGTAAAGCTTTTTTCCCATTACCTTGCCAACTTATTGATATACTAGTCTATGTTTTATTATTCCAAAATAGAATCATTAGCTACTAAACTAATGAGACACGTCGTATAATTGCGAATAATTTAAACATACATCCCCTTGTACCCTGCATAACAACAAATAAACAAGAAGTCTGAGACTAATATACCGTCAGTGTACGGATGGACCACCCTGCTTTGGAACAGCAAACTATGTAGGATATCGCGGATAAGGATATTTTAAATTATGTATATTACCAGGGTCTTCAAAAATCTTTTTGGTTTATTTAGGTGATTCACTATGTCACCTATATATCAAAGTAGAAAAACTGCATACGTAGAGTCCATTTCACGGTTTTGAGCAGGTCACACTGGAACTACCGTCATCATTTTTATACGTCCCAACGTATGCTTGTCACTGTCAGTGTGGCAACCCACTTGAACTCTGTACCATTTTAATTTTACCTTTTATTGATTTTCGAAACATAAAATGTAGCCGTGCCTGAAAATACAACTAATGGACAATATCGATGGTTTTTCTAAATTCTCTAAGCGGATTTGCTTACTTATTTTGTGTAAAAGCCGTGAAAAGGACTATATATCTACCTAAAGTCTTTTTCGGTTTTGCACTGAAAACCTTACCTTTAAAGATATAAAATGTGAGACACAGAATAAGCACAAATCGGGGCTTTATTCAATTTTAATTTTTTAGTGGATTTTCGTCCATTTCCAGACTAGAGCATATCGATATTCTTGATATACACGATGTCCTCAAACATTTTCAAGAGAAACTTCAGGGCCTTTTTTAGCCATTCTCAGCCAGAGTAATTGTTTCATCTCCACTTTTATAGTAAATTTTCGCTTTGTTTTTTGTACTTTGCCGTTGGTGCTGGCGTTAGACTTCGAAAAGTAAGATTTTAGTGATTGCCAGTGGCGACCATATAGCTATATCAAGGGAGCGCAGTGGCCATATAAGAATTCGTGGGGGATTGCCGGCGATTGAAATTTAAAGAGGAAGGGGGGAGAGGCTCTTCAATTTTCTATCTCTTTATGAGACGGGGTTGGGGGTTAGGATGTTTTTTGAAGGCAAAAAAAACACACATACGCTGAAAAAACGGGTATTATATTTGTATTAGGGATATTTTATTACTCAAGTGAAAGCTTGTGCCAATTGTACTTAGGATATTAAGTTTTTTGGACAAGGACATGTTTCACTGCTCTTATTGCTAAATTCTTTTACTTAAAACGTAAAGGAAGTAAATATCCTCCTGGTTAGAATCGCATAAAAGCGGAAACACTGAATTGCAAATGTCTTGTTTCCTACCATATACTTAGTCAAACATGTAAACCAGTTTCATTTATTACCTTTCAGTTTGATCGAAATATGATAATTGTATGATAATCAATGACTATATAGATTGCTGTGATCCACTTTTACTTGTAGTTCTGCTAAGAATGACTCACACACGACTTCAATTTCTGATAACATTGCTAATCCTTACTTTAAGCGTGCAAAATCTTTTGGAAGCATCTCTAAGAGTTATTGAGTCAAGGACTAATTGAATAGGCACACATGTGATTAAGATTGAATTGAACTGATAAGAGCACTCGAGAATGCAAAACAGCGTGGAGGTTGTACATCATTAACGATTTTAATCATTAGTACTTGTGTTTTTGGTAGTAGCCATTCCATTAACGAGTAGAGCATTGTCCTTGTAGCGGTGACGAAATACGTATGCTGCTCTTTTCCGGACAAATTTTATCGGGCTACTAGAACAATCTACTGAAGGATTGAAGTATGAGTGGCGCAGGACACTCACACAATAAAATTAAGTCGTTATGGATATGTCTTGATATGAACCTTGCATAAAGAATCGCATAAGAGTACCATTATGGAACGTTCTGTACAAGCTCCATAGCGTATTTTTAAGACTCGAGACTGTTATATAATAAAGCGTTGTAATCTCTCGATCAAAAATGACATCAGCTCATTTACAAATTGCCATTGTGTCCGGTTTCAGCGTTGTGGGTGAGTGATGGGCCATCCGACAGGGCGCACCTCAAAAATTCTGAGAATGACGCAGGCAAAGTCCAGAATAAATATTTAAGAATGGTGCTGAAATACATTTTTCTTAAAATTCTTTAATATCCGTATATTGTGTGTTTACTATTTAATTTGAACCTCTCTCCTTACTTACTTTTTTTTACTCATTTGCATTTACTGGCTCAAGTTTTGGAGTTTCACTTTGAGAGTTGAAAACGTAAAACACAGTGCCCAATTCAAAATAAGAGATATAATCCAAAAGATATTAGATTTTGCTTGTATCCTTGCTTCTTTCTAATTTCACTTCTACACCTCAGATCCAGACTAGGTTGTGTTCATTTTGCCTAAAATCAGTTTTATATCTTTGGTCGGTGACAATATTGTGAATTTCCATTTGCTACTTTCAGCGTATACCTACCTGTTGTAATCAGGAAGTTAAAACTTTATATACAGGGTTATCCAAATTAAGTGTCCACCATTAGTAACTTTGTTATTAGTGAAAATACAAAGTTGTTTGAATTAGCAAACTAGTAGCATTTTTAACGCTGGTAAAAATGAGAAATAAAAAAAAACAATTGAGAGTCGTTATTTTGATTTTTTTCAGTAAAATAACATTTTTTTAAATGGAAACCAATGTATATTATATTTTTTTCTGTTAAAGCATCAAATTTTAAACAAAAAAGCTTACAATAACTTTTCTCCTAGGTTACAAATTGTTGAAGTTATGGCCTCCAATCTGAAACAATTAAATTGTATCGACAAACTTTATTTTCAACATCAACTTATAATCTTACAAAATACAATAACAATTTTTTTTAAAGAAGATGCTCGAAAACACCACCTTGTTCTTCAATACATTTTTGGGCACGTTTTTCAACTGCTCGAACTGTCTTAAGTATGGTCCTACCATCTATCTGGGTTATCTTTTCCCTAACTGCAGTCTTTAACGCGTCAAGGTTATCGTACCTTCGCTTGTAAATTTGGTTCTTTAAGTAACCCCACAAGAAGTAATCAAGTGGGTTTAGATCTGGTGATCTGGGAGGCCACTGTATTGGGCCATTTGTTCCTATCCACTGATCATTAAAAGTAGTACTTAGAAAATGATAAGTACCTCTGGAGTTGTGGGCAGGTGCGCCATCTTGCTGAAAATGCAGATGATGTCTACTTATAAGATCCAATTCGTCTAAGAAATTAGTCAGAATTTCTGACATAAATTCCACATATCTTTCACCAGTTAGGGTTCCCTCATAAAAGAACGGGCCAACAATTTTTGAACCAATTATACCGCACCAAACGTTGAAACTGAAACGGACTTGTGGGCCTCTTGGATGTACTAACAAAAGATTTTCTCTTGACCAATAATGGTGGTTTTTTCTATTAAACATTCCAGAATTTGAAAAATTTGATTCATCTGTCCATAAAAGGTAACGAAAGTTATTTACATTTTGGCGACAGAAGCTAAGATACCAATGGCAAAAAACAAGTCTTCTCTCTCGCCAAAAGCGTTTGAACTGGTCGGTACTTATACGGAATAAATTTGTATTTTTATAAAATCCTTTGAACAGTACCATAACTGAAATTAGAGTCCTTGAGAATATCTGCTATTGAATTCTCACGATAAGCTTCAAAATATCCAATAACTGCAATTTCCGTGGCCTCGCTTATTATGAATTCTTTTTTTGCCCTTGTTTTAGCAAAAACATTTTCGTTGCCCCTAAATTTTCGATAAAGTCTCAGAAAATATCGTTCATACGGTTGAATGCGAGCGGGATATAATTCACTGTAGTATTCTCTTGCTCTCAAGGAGGATTTTCTGCACACTAAATAGCATTCTAACATATCACACTTTTCTTCATGGGAGAACATTTTTCTTTAAATTAATGACACAATAAAGCTTATAAACAAGTATTTACACTAATGTTTGACATTATTTGATTTTATCATTGTTTTCCAAAGCCTTCTAGTTGCGAGTATGTCCAGTTTAACAATTTGTCGCTTATCCTAATGCTGTCAAATCGCGAACGCCATGTTGTTTTCATAGCCGTCTTAATATTATAATACTGCAAATAATTAAAAATATTTATCGTTATTTTGACTTTATTTTTGACTTTAGCGGAAAAGTCATTATGAACTTTTTTGTTTAAAATTTGATGCTTTAACAGAAAAAAATATAATATACAGGGGTTTCCATTTAAAAAAATGTTATTTTACTGAAAAAAATCAAAATAACGACTCTCAATTGTTTTCTTTTATTTCTCATTTTTACCAGCGTTAAAAATGCTACTAGTTTGCTAATTCAAACAACTTTGTATTTTCACTAATAACAAAGTTACTAATGGTGGACACTTAATTTGGATAACCCTGTATATGAATTATGTTGAGTCGCATACAAGACAAGGAAAATATTTCAAACCCAAGACTCTCAAAAGTACTTGTTTGGACTTAACCCTGAGGCACAGCTTTGGGCGACTTCCATCCTGAAATAGCCAAGAATTAAACATTTTTCTCCTCATAAATTTATGGTACATATAAGCTTATACCTCAACAACAATGAACAAGCAGTTATACTGGCGAAAAAAACTACGGATCCACCACCCACACATTTGGATTCTCGCATTTTGTGATATACCTACTCTTATGTTATTTATTATATATTTAAAAATGTGTAATAACAGTAGAGTGGTATTTTTGATCAGCGGATTCAATGTGGGTAATGTTGGTCTTGTCATAATGCCCTCTGATGCATCGGTTAACTGACCTTTGGAAGGTCAAGAAGAGACTGTTCACGTAAATCTGTTTTCGTATTATCTAAGAAATAATTTTTTCAGAGTGATTACATTTCCATGCTAATGAATGAGATGAAAATAAATATTGGACAAAGTGGTATTCAGAAATTCATCAATACCGAATGACATTCTTATACGTTGGTTAGCCAAATGCGTACAAGTATTTTTGAGCTCGTGAAAATGAAAATTAAGAACTAGATAGGTACTGAGGTAATGTAGTTCAATGTTTAGCGTGAGATATTTTTTCCCTCAAAGGTGAAGTTCAGTAAACTAAATAGTTAGATATCTTGAATTTGAACAAAATTATTGAACAAACCTCGGAGAAAAATTACCTAATGACAACGGATATGTGATTTCTGTAATTATCATTTGTAAAAGTGTTGGTCTGCGTTATCACAAATGATATAATTTCTCTACTTGTTAAGTACAGCAACAATCAACCTACAATACGATAGAGGTTGTTCTATTATAAAAATAAATTATTTGAGGCAATGCAGATAAATCGGTGTTACATATTCGTATACCATGTAAACAATCTACTAACAATTTTTTTTTATTTTTCAGTGCCAGTTGCTTCAGTCTTCAGTAAGTATCAAACACGCTACATATGATTAGTCTTCAGTAAGTATAAATTATGCTGCACATTCTTACGAAAAATGATGCTCACTTGTTTGAGGAAATATCTAGCTGGAGGTGGAATAAAAAAATGGTGCATTAACTACCCAGACATGAAAATTTGAAATGACTTGTTATACCCTCGAAGATAATAAGTGAAACTTTCAGGGCTGCTAGTAATTTGCCGTATTCCTCCCAGGGAGTGATAAGGAACGTAAAATGCCGTTTGGTCCATATAAAACATATGGTCGAAAACATAAATAATTCTCGAAAATTTTAAACTTTATGATTTTCTGGCAATCGCAATTCTTTGCACGTCTTGTAGGACTTCATATTCATATGTATAAGCTTGAAGAGGCGATTTTATTATTTATTGTGTCAGCAGAAAGTTAACCTTACTACGAACAATTACATTAATTTGAATTGCAAATCTCAGATTATAGCTAGTTCCTTATAAGCTTGCATCCATTGTCTATGGTCTGAGACTATACACTTGAATGTGTAAATCTACCTATAAATATTTTCACAATTTGCAACGAATATGGTTCTATGGACATTTCTGTATGTGATAATGATCATTATAAAATAAATAATGGATAGGTTTACGTTTGTTACAATGACCTTTTCCGTAGTAATAAGTAGTATAAACGTACATTTGTTAAGAAATACCGTATTTTTTATATATACGTGTATGTCTATCAAGGTGTTTAAACATGAACTTCTTGGAGCCTTTACTCGAAATGTCTCAGCTGAGCGACATACAAAACACGAATTGCATATTTGCTATTTGGTGTGGGCTCAATACTCGCTTTTCATTTACATGGTCACTAAATAATTACAAAACACTGTATAAAGCTCTACGTCCAGTAAGGCTCAGGAAACACAGATCCAACTAAACGTTTATATTAGCTTGTTAGTAAACAAAACAGACCTCCGCTTGTACCGGAAGTGAGTGTGAATAAAGTCGTGCACGTACATGGGGCTTTCGAAACTGGATTGGACTTCCTAGAGATTTGCCATCTTGATCACTTTTCCTCTGATTTACACCTTTATAAACCTAAAGGTCTATGTATTCATCAACAGGTTAAGCTTAGATCCCAGACCACGTTTACTCCAATAATCCTTCGGCTCAAATCACTTATGTTAGAGCTTGACAATGACTTACCTCAAAAAAAGCGTTTTGAAATAATTTGGTTTGACCTCTCAACATAAAGGTATTAGTTGACAATGGATGGAAGATGATCGTTCTTCCCTTAGTCACGACTCTAGAGTCAAGCGTGCCTAAGCCAAGTTAAGAGATGTATCTCAAATACCCTGTACAGTGTAGGTATGATTGACTCCAAGCCGTTCCGTAGTAACATGATGCAAGCAGTAATTTACTTTGTCATTTTCAACTGCTATATTTATTGATTGAACTGCCAGTCAAGATTATGCCAAAACCCTACATCTTTCATTATTATCGAATTTTGAACAATGGCATGCTATAGGATCTGGGTCTAAATAGTCTCAACCTTTTAGAAGGATTTTTAACTGCGGTCGTCAAGTTTTTGAGGAATAATAATTATGCGTCGCCATCCAAGTCCTCCTTGCTGCTCAGTCTTTCCCGCTGGTTAAGCTTTAAAATTGTTTATCATTTTTATGCCATACTCAATATACTCCAATTTTCTTCCTTTGACTGTTTTGAACTGTCTTATCTTTTTTAATAGTTCTGCGGTTATGATATATGTGAAAAATAAAGTGAGCAAGTTTTCATATAATTCCATAGGTCTTGGTCTCATATTTGGACCTGAATTCCATTAATCCTGAGGATTCAAAAACATACTTATGGAGCTGCATTTTGCAAAGCTGTTTTGCATGATGATATTTGAAGAATATGGAATTGGTGTTTATATCCATAGATAACTAGTTAGAATTTATGCCTGTAAGTTTCTGTATCACTATTCAAGGAACTACTCTAGAGCCTAAATATTATTCCAGGCTGTTTCCATTGTCTGTAATGTGATACATGCTGTTTCATAAACAGTAGAAAGTGTGCCTGGATATGCAAGCACTGGAAATGCTTATGTATGTTGCGAATTGACAAACGATTTCCTGAAAATATTTCTAATACAAATTCAGCAGTTTAGAATGAACAACAATAAACAGTATTGAATTCACATCGTTCGTTACGTGATTCATCTACCAGTGTTTTCGAACTGCAGAGCGAGTGTTTATGAAGCGAATATAATATTACAGTTTGTGCAGCATTTCTTTAATGACAACCTATAAACGTTAGTAAACTCTAAGAATTAAGGTTTTTTCATTAGATTAGTATGTTGTTATTGTCCTAAACTTTCCGTCTTATGGGGTTCCGAAGAGATTATAGACTATGGATTCTACTTTCATTTTTTTGCCGTCGTAAGGTAGGTGTTATGGCTGTTAAGATCCCTTTTTATCGAACAGTATCAAGGTTTTATCACAAAAACTCACCACCCCTCGTCAATGGCAGCAATTCTGCGAAGAAGCTGGGATATCTGTGTTGAGGTAGGAAGTAATATTCATCTAGCCAGCCTGTGTGCTCTGTGCAAAACCTAAAGATAACACGGCCTGGAATTCTACTCACATGCCTGGAGAACTGTTAAAAGTACTCTACGACAAGCAGAGCAAATTATAGCAATACGTGTTCCCTATATTTGCCCTTAATATAGTTTGCCCTATGCTCTATTTGCCATAAAATCACGTAAGAAAATACATCTCATTACTTTATTCCTAGGGCATTGAAAATATAAAGGAAACTGTCAGAATAGGCTTACCGTGGACCTTGTAGCCTTGTGCAGTTCGAATTTGAACTAATAAGATGTCTTTGACTCTTTTTAAATTCTTCTCTATCGAAAAACATATCGTTTCATAGCTAAATCCCATGAAATGCATCTAATCGTTCAAGATATAATTGTTTTATTACCTGCCTTATTGATAAGACCAATTTATCAAGGAATGGAAATATTTTTATAGCGGAAATTTCTCTACTGACCAGTGATAAAAAAATTCCTGTAACATTCTAATCGAATATATCTGGTAAACATACATAAGTGTCACACCGATAATGGATTGATTGTTCCATGTCCACGATCCATTTTTATTAGAAGAGATGGTTTCCTTGAATGCGTGATAAGATCTATGAGGTCTGTAAATTAGGTGATGAGATTTTTTTTATTTTTTCATCCAAATATAATTATAACTCTATATTTCCACCCTCAAAATAAGTTCCTTCTGAAGCCACAAAGCAGTGGAGTCGGTTCTTCCATTCCTCATAGCAGTGCTTGAACTTCGATACTGGAATATATTCGACTGTCCGAAAATGAGTGCCCTTGAGTTGATTTTTTCACTTCAGCAAAAGAAACACAGGGACTCAAGTCAGGCGAATAAGGGTCTGAGGAACCACGGGAATGTTTTTACTGGCCAAAAACTGGTTTATGGGCATTGCTGTGTGATAAGGAGTATTGTAGTGAAGCAACACCTAGTTGTTCTTGATCGGATAAACGGTGGTGTGAGCCAAATTTAACTCTTCCCCGATCATTCTGACTGTCAACCGACGATCTGAACGCACAAGATCCCGGATTCTGTCGTTATTTTCATCGGTTCTTAAAGATGAAGGACTTTCACTTCGTGGGTCATCTTCAATCGACTCTCTCCGTTCTGAAAATGCCTGGGTTCTTGCCAAAACATTATCTCCGTAGGCCTGTTGAAGTTTAGCAAGAGTTTCCGTTGAACTGTGCCCCAGAACACAATAGACAAAAACTGTTTCACAAAAAAAGTCTCTACGGACAACTAAATGACTCAAACCTGTACTGAAGGCGGATCACATGTTTCTCTGTCCCCACTCCAAGTCCGGCACCTCCAGTGTTGAAAAATCGAATGCTACCTTGCCAGCCTCATCACTTAATTTATAGACCTCAGGGGTTGCTAGAAATAGTCCATTTGTAACACATTAAGCCACATATATATTCTTACAAGTGTGAATGTATTTTTGAGCAACTTTTTGTGAATACTCGAATATATTAATAACGAAAAGTAACTTCATCACTTTTAAATTCTTGTGTTATCCTGACGATTGGGTTAACTACTAATGTCGTACACGTCAATGTTATGCAAAATAATGGTGAATGGTCCAACCTTGTTAGGCATAGTAGCTTTTCAAAAGACTGGCAAAATTTGCTATTGGATAAATTAGAATCTTTAGTTAAACTTTGTTTCTGCTCGTTCCATATGACATACGAAGATATACAATTAGTAGGTTCTTATAATCATCTCAGAATATTAAAATCTTCGAAATTACATAAAACTATTATACATGGATTCCTGTATTTGTATTCTCAATAAGTATATCCATGTTTACAAGCTTCTTGAGCTTTTAGTATGTCCTATAAGTGTGAGACAAACCTTGAAGGTGAATTTTGATCTAGTTAACCTTAATCAGTCGAATTGAAATTTTGTACGCACGTTTGGTTATCATTAAGATACACAATTAATTGAATATCGCTATTTTGCAACCAATATGGCGGATGATACAAAATGGCAATTTATCATTTCACGGGCATCTAATGAATGTCTTGATGCGCGAATCACAGTGAAGCCGGGTTTACACGTTACGCTTTGTTGTACGATTTGTTGGATAGGACAAATCCTATCCAATAAAACGTGTAAACAGTATAACTTACCTGTTGTCGAATTGAAATGAAATCCAAGGTCAGACTGAAAAATATAGTGACCGTAACAAAAGAAAAGTCGCGTATGAGGATTTTATAGAAAATACAAATAACTGCGAAAGTCATCAGGTTCGCTTCTCAGTTGTTTCAATAACGAGACGTGGGAATACTAGCTTCTTTTCAGAAGCCACTCCCTTGATTATCTTGTCTTTTCCCTCTTCATCCCTTTTCCTCTCAGTCGTTGTATCCTTATAGTTGAAAAAATAAAAGAAAGCAGCCGTGTTT